TAGCTGCACCAGCGAGACACTCCTCTCATGTGCCATCTTCAAGGCGCAAAGGAAGGAAGAGAAGGGCTAGACAACAAACTCCATCTGAGGAAGAAGCCTCTCCCTCCCAATTCATTCAGAGTTCAGACTCTCACCACTCCTCCACCTGAAGTAAGGTACACCACTCTAAACCATTAAAAATACCACACATTTGTTTTCAAGTTTATGTGATTTGCTTGTTGATGTTTGTGAGCATTCTCCTCACCATTTTTATTACACAGAGCCTGTGTAATTTAAGTATGGGGGGGGGGGGGGGGGGAGTGTATGATGAACTGATGTTTGCACATTGCATTTGCATCATAGATTAGAAACCATGCATCACATTTGCATAGCATCTAAGGCACTGAAAAAAACCCAAAAAAAATTTAAATATTTTTGAAAATGCTTCACAAAAAGAGTTTGATTGTTATGCATTCATATAGGATTTAGACTTCATGCAAATATTCATATAGGACTAGCTCGCTTGTTTAATTTGGGAACAGTGATAGTACATCTTGGTTAATGCTAGTAGTTTATGAAAATGAAGCCCTTGTTTTTAATCTTTTGATGCATTTGATGTTGAATTAGAAATAAAGCTGAACCACTTTTGGAATTTTCAATTTTGTGAGCCTTGTTTGAAACTGAAGCATGCTTTGAAATGATGTCAACCTTTGTTTAAGTGGAACCAAATTTGCAATTATCATAACTTATGCATTTGTGTTTGATGTCATGGATAGTTTAAAATATTTGGACCTTCTTATTCTCTTTTACCACTCTTTAAAAGTTCCATTTAGATCTCTTCACCCTTAACTAAACCTTCTTTCAAGCCAAAACATTAATAGTGTGTGATTTGTGAGGCCTCTTTCCTTTGTGGTTGTTGCTTAGCAAAAAGTGTTGGGTTGGCACTACAAGGGAAGTATTTCCATGTAGAACTAGCTCACTCTTGAGTTAGATAGGCTAGGATGTTTGGGGGAATGGTTTGGAATTTATTTTGGATTTGGTTTAAAGAGAAGCAAAGAAGAAAAGAAGTCAAGGCAAAAAAAGAAGGAGTGTGCACAAGCAATGGTTAAAAATGGCAGTTCAAAGTTCAAAACCAAAGAAGTCTCATGATTCAAAGGAGAAAATATGGTGCTAGAAGTGCAAAGCAAGCAAATCAAAAATAGCAAAGGCGAAAGCAGCACCAGCATCGACAAATAAAAGGAGCCAAGTTCAAAGAAGAAAACCGCCACCACATGAAGATTCAAAGAAGAAGTGTCCTCCAAAGAGCTTAAAAGAGAAGAGTTTTTGGGTTTCTGTTTAGGTTTGAAGTGGCGTAGGCGGGTTTACATTGATTAGCTAGAGTTATAAACATTTCTTATAGGTCTTGGGTAGATGGGAATCTTCCTTTGTATGTGTAAGTTATTCTTTAACCTTAGCATTTTGCCAAAGCACAGCCATGCTTATCATTGAGAGAACCCTTGAAACACCAAAACTAGTTTGATAAGTAGAATCACTTTTATTTCACTAAGCCTTGTCTCTTAGCCAAATGACACATTTGCATTACATAAGCATGATTCACGGTTTGAGCTTTAATGAATGTTAAAAAGGTTGTTTGATTTGATGAGCATGTGTAGGTTGATAGCATTATGATCATTCCTTCTTTGTGATAAAAGTGGCTAAGTGTTTAAAGTATTCTTCCATCAAGTGCATTCTAGAATTAAGATCATGGACTTCATTTTGATTTATTGTTAGCACTTTTGAAGATATGAGTTCCCATTTTAAAACTTCATCACCATGTTAAGTGTTTGTTTGCTTGAGGGAAAGCAAAAGCTAAGTGTGGGGGTGTTGATAGCTTGCTATAGCATTTTAGGCTGCATTTCATGCATCTTTTCCCTTGTTTTTACATATTAGTTTAGCATTTTAGTCTCATTTGCACTTAGAATCAATATTGCATGCATTTACTTTAGGATTGCATACATATGCTTATATTTGCATGTTTGTGGTGATTCTCAGGTGCTTTTGGAGGTTCTTAGAGTTTGGGGAGGAGATGGAAGCAGCTCATGTTCGAAGAAATGTCAGACAAGGAGATTTGCCAAGTCTGGTCCCATATCGAGATGGAGCATATCGAGATGAAGCCTAAGGCATGGTCTACATCGGGGTGCTGCATCAAGCATGGAAAGCATGCACAAGTCGATACAAGCTGCACGGACCATATCGGGGTGGTGCATCGAGCAGGACATTGTCCGTACCACCCCGATACAACTTATCTGCGTGTTTGACCGGATTTTATCGTTGACCTTATCCTATTTTTAGGTTTTTCCTTCTTTTTTGGTTCTCTACCATAAAAGGGAAGCCACTAAACTTTGTCATTATGTCATCTTCTATTCCAAACCTTATCTTATCTCTTGCTTACCCAAAAAGGGCGATTTTCCCAAGCTTGTAAACACTTTTATTTTCTTCAATCAAGTTTGCATTTTTATGGTCTAATCTTGTCTTCTGATCTCTGATTTATCACTCTGGTAGTTTTGTTTTCGTTATTGTGCATTTAATCTCACATAATCATGTTTAACAATAATCAAATAGGATTAAACATGATTAGTGAGTAGTTTACCTTAGATTTAGGGTTTTAAGTAGGGAAAGTGGTGATTAGAATGTGAGTAAGAGGTGATTAAGCTTGATTAGTTGTTCTCTGTTGTTTTCTTCTCTTGCAAAGTGATTATTATTGATAAAGCTTCTCCCTTTTGATTGAATATGGTATTGTTGATGCAAACGGTTCACTTAATGGTTTGATATCTCATTCTAATGCATGATTCGCTTATTTGGTTTGATACTCTAGCTTGGTCTATGTTTCCTTTGTTCAGTGACACCATTGTGATAGTTCACCTTGCTAAATGATTCGCTTAGGGCTTGATATTTCCAATTTTGAGATTTTTGCCTGATGGTTAGATAGTTTGCATTATAAGAACATGCTTTTGCTTGAAGTCCTGTTCATTGCTAGACATTGTTAGGATTCGCAACTGTGAGCTTACTTCTATGTTCTTAATTGGTGATTAGACTTAGGTCCCTATATGGTTCAAAAGATTGATAGGATGATCTAAATTCTTGCTTGAGTGAGAGATGTTTACTTCACTAGTTCATCTTTTATGCTCTATGGTTCTGCTCTTTATGCTAATGATTAGAGAATATACCATCAAAAGTGGGTTTGACACTTTAGTCTTGTTGAATTGGGTTTGCATATTAACCACTAGGATGATCTTTTCTTAGATACTTTGTCTAGGATTACAACATTGAGATTTGCTTGCTTATAAATGCTTGCTGAGAAATCCCCTTAGTCACTCTTGAAAAGCACTTGACCATTATTGCTTGGTACTTTAGATCTTGTTTTTTTTTGATAATTGTCTTAAAACCGCTTTGCTTAGTTCCTTTTGCTTGCTTAATTTCAGTAATCATCTTGTTTCATCCTGCTTAGTCTTTGTTTACTTGCATTTCAGTTATGTTTTTTCTTTATTGCATTGCTAGGTTGTTAGAATTACTCTTGCATAATCAAACCTCTTATTGCTTAGCTTATAGCATTGTTTGCATTTCACATCACAAGTGTGTTTGACACCTGATCTCTATACTACAAATGATTAGAGACCTAGGAACATTAGCTTCAAGGGCATAAAAAAACTTGTTTCAAGCATATCAATTGCTTTTCATGAATTCTTGATAATCCACCCACAACCCTAGGATCTCGGAGGATAATTCTCAGATGAAAGTTCTCTGGAGGGTGAGTTCCTGAAAGCAATCCAGGATGATGGTTCCCAGAGGAAAGCTCTCTGAAGGCGATCACAGAGGATAGAAATGTGAAGATGAATTATGATTTCCACAGGACAGGTGCTTGAATAAGCATCCAAAATCTTAGGAGATTTATAAATGGTAACATATCTCTGTAACAGTTTGAAGTATAAAGGGTAATCCTGATTTGGGCAGGTCTGTGTTTTTGTCATGAACGCCAAAGTGACACTCATGTATATGCTTTTCTAGCCTTTTTCGATATTTTGATATTAGCAGATATGAAAATACAATAAAATCTAAACTAAGCGAGATATACTTATATACATCATTTACAGAAACTAAAATGCAGCTCTAAGTCCCATTTCTAATTAGTTAGAAAGATATATATCTTAAATAATTTATCTTGACATAATGGTTATTTATCATTGATCTATTAGAAACTTATTGCTAGTATCCATTGATAAAATAATAGATTTTACATTTGACATTGATGCATTACATGTTTTTGTTAACAGTGTCAATAATATTTCAAGGTTTATATGTTCTCGTGCTTGTATACACATAAGATTTCTCATTTTATAAAATAGATAAATCTTAGGGTTTCTGTAGATATTTATTTTGAATGTAAGAGAGTCTCTTTCAGATTATGGTAGTAGCTTCTTTAAATCTTGAATGTATCTCTTTTTTACTAGAAAATACTTATCATCTATGTTTTGGTGTTTGTATCTTGGAGTCTCTTGCATGCAGATCATGATAAAAAAAACAAATTCCTTGAATCTTGAATGTTTTCGTTTTGATGTTTTTATGGTCTTTGGTTTTATGTATTCGTTGATTGAGTAATTTACAAAAAATTATTAAAGATATCTCTGTTGTTGACAAAAAAAAAAAAAACTCTGTTATGGTATTTCCATTACTTGGTCTATTTTTTTTGGGTTTTAAAAAGAAATACTTGGTCTATTTGTCTTAACAGAGTTGATACAGCTTGAAAATCTACTAAATTTTTGGTGTATTTATTTAGAATGTGCAATAGATCTTTTTATGATTGATGTCAAAATCAAGAAATTAGTAGATATTTGAATTTTGATAGTAATTCAGATACTATGAGACCAGTAAACCCCCCCAAACCCCAAGGTTTATAGATTTTCTCGGTGTAGGAACTTCTTGAATCAATCAAGAATCTCGTAATTGTAACCTTAATGATTCTGTGAAGCATTTAACATAATCAGTGAAAGAAAATCAAGAGCTTGTTCTTCCATTTCTCGAATTTTCGGTTTTCAGAAGATTACCAAACCACCAGTACACATTTATTGCAAGAACTCTCTGATCTTTCATTCCAAAACTGAATCCTAAGTACAAAGCTAAAAGCAGTTCAACAATCCCAAAAGTTTCAAAACACTTAAAGAGCTTGAGAGATACTCTAACTCGGAGTTGTGTTTGCCAAAGTTTCTTTAAGCTCATCCATTGTGAGGAGTCTAGTGATCTCTAAATGCTCTCTACAAGAATCATCGATCTCATCCAATTTCACTTCCTTTAACACGAACTGTGTTCTCACCGCCTTTATGGTTTTCTCTATAAACACCGATCTTTCAATATAATCCTTCATTCTACAAACGAAATCTGTGTGGTCTCTTTCCTGCAATACTCAAAAGGAAACTGGCTAATCAAAAATCTGCATCAAATCATTTAGACCGAAGTGAAAACAGAAACCTTACCAGCCTGTACTGAGGAACTCTTGAAGGCGGCTTATGTTACTCTCACTGTAATCCCATAGAAACGATGTATGATGAATCCATCTATTCCTCGTTATAGACTGAGCATTTCCAGCGAAAACATAATCTGAAATCCGAAACAAGAGTAAAACTTTCAATGTGTGTCAACAGAAAACACACAACAACAAAACTAAAGAACATTCCGCAAAATACTTACGAACATCATCAGATTCCCAGCAAACAAACCGTTCTCTCGCGTAGCTGAAAATCGCCAATTTCATTGAACACATCACTATACAATGAACCACTCCAAGCCATGACTGATCGTGGCTAAGGCTGAACCTTTGGAACATCGCTTCTATCGCTAATCAAACTCACAATCAACAATCACAGTTCCTCCTTCATATCACCGAGAACAGCTATCGCATCTTCCATCTTCCCAGCAACACAATGTCCGTTGATCAGAGCGTTATAAGTCACAATCGACGGAGAAAACCCATTATCAGTCATCTCTTTTCAAATCCCTATAAGCTTCATTCATATACCCCTTTTGTGAATTGGGTTGTTGAGTTTCTTAAAGTTACACAGTTAATAAATCAAATTACACATCAATCGAGCAAGAATACTCAGAGAATTTGTCATATTGTCTTATCAAAACTGCTACCATAAAAGAGTAAAGTCCACTTTCGAAGCTCTCCACATAAGAGTCTAGCTAACTTGTCAAAATGGATTCTCAGACATCCTCCAAATTAAGGAAGAGTAATAAACTCAAAACATACACAAAAAGGGAGTTTACTACTTCAATTTTATCAGACAGTTTCAGTCAATCCCTAATCAAAAACTCAAAACATAGACAGAGAGTGTTTACTACTACAAGTCTACAACTTCATCACAGACACTTCAGAGTTCCTAGCCTTGAATTCAAAAAATTCACTCATTCGTAAGCAGGAGGACCCAACCCCAATTACAAGGTCATATTGTAAAGATCATCGACTAAAATGAACCTAAAAGCCACAGACTTTTACCAACAAAAACGACCATGCTTCTGTCGCAAAAGAAAACACACTCCTACAGTTTCAAGGTTGCAAATTTAACACCAACAGAAAACTTCAATCGAATCAGAGAGTTTTATTCACCTAGAAGAAGTTTGAGTGCGTCGAAAGAGAGAGTTTATTACTACAATTTTATCAGATAGTTTCATGCCCTAATCCAAAACTCATACTCATTACAACGTCAACATAGACAGAGTGTTTACTTCCGTAACAACGCAGACCATTTCAATCCCAAAAGGCACAAACTTTAATCTACCAAAAGGATTATGCTTCTATCGCAAAAACACACTCCTACAGTTTCAAAGTTGCTAATTTAACACCATGGGTCTGAGTCAAACAGAGAACTTCAATCGAATCAGAGAAATATTATGCCCCACGTTGAGTGCGTCGGCGAGTGAGAGAATCGATGCATAATTGTAAGAGAGAGAGGAGAAGACAATACAAAAGTCTTGGTACGAAACGGCGTCGGAAAAGCGGTTTAGGTACTCAGTGATTGATTTGCCGCCGATGAGATTCGCATGTTCTCGTCTTTCTTATTCCACTTGAAACTACGACATATGGAAAACACAGGACCGGTTCGGTTAAGGTTCTGTCTAATAAAAATGAAGGACCGGTTCAATTACAATTAAAATCGACTTCTTTATTTTACTGAGTTTATCAAAAGAGTTGGATAGGGACATTCTATCTCAGTATGAAATGATCCATGGATTTCATCCTTACGTTTGAGATCAATTTTTTGTAAAGGGTTCAATTATTATTCTGTCCTAACAGTCAACCAACTAATTGACCATATCACTTAAACGTGGAATATTCCATTACTTCAGCAATTGATAGCTCCAGAGGATATTCCTCTGATTACTGGATTGGCCACATCACGGGAACATTGTGAGAACACTTGGGGCTAGAATTTTACCAAGACGGAAAGATACACTGTCAAATCGGGATATTTGACAGACCAACTCTACCTAGAAAAGGCATTCTCAAGGTCATTTGGACCTGACATTAGTCATTTACATACAAAAGTTTGGACCATAAAATGTCCACCAAAATTAAAACATTTTATGTGGCAAGCATTTTCTGGTTGTTTGGCAGTAACTGCACGCCTGAAAGATAGGGGAATCAATTGCGATCCTCAATGTAGCAGATGTGGTGCGGACAGGAAAACTATAAATCACACACTATTTGAGTGTCCTCCGACGATTCAGGTCTGGGCACTTTCACCAATATCAACACCTATAGACTGCTTCCCAATGGGAGCTCTATAAATGAATATGGTACACCTATTTGGGAATCTCTCAAACTGTGAGGATATGAAGATATATCCTTGGATACTATGGTATATTTGGAAAATCAGAAACGAAAAAATATTCAAAAATGTTGATCGGGACCCCCGCGACATGCTCAAGGTTGCGAGGGCAGAGGCAAATGCCTGGGAGGAGGCACAGACGGAGGATATAACGATAATTGTTACACCAGGTCTGCGATATGAAAACCAGAATAGGGATGGGACCATCTGCTATACCGATGGCTCGTGGAAAGAGGATGTTTTAGATACAGGCTTAGGCTGGTATAGTGAAGATACAGTGACCAAACATATTTTAATGGGTGCCCAGAAACTAGGGAAGAGTTTAACTCCTCTGCACACGGAACTCGAGGCACTGATATGAGCAATGCATTGCATGTTTGATGTGGGGAAATCAGCAGTAACCTTTCTCACTGATAGTTCATAATTATTGAAGATGGTGTCGAATCCAGAAGGATGGCCAGCTTTTTCTCTACATCTAGAGGAATTTGAAGTAACAAGAAGGGAGTTCAATCTCTTCTCAATATCAAAGATTCCTTGTGCGCAGAACACAAAGGCATACAAACTAGCACGGAGTGCTCGAGACCACCTTTATCATCTCTATTATGTATACTCAAATCCTCCAGATTGGCTAACACCCTCTTAGAAGATTTTGAGGTTGTTGACAAAAAAAAATATATATATACGCAACTATACATTAAAACATTTTCTCTCAACTTTTCATTTATTTTGACAGTTTTCACACAATCCATTTTTTTCCACATCTTTTACCAAAACATTATCTCATTTTTTTTTCTTTTTTTGAAGAATTGTCTTGATCGACTCTTCAAAGATTTGCAAAATTGGAATATCCGTTTACATTCTTAGATTAGCAAGTGTTTCGTTCTTCGTAGATAGTAAATTCGTTTGAGGATTTCTAACTTTCGTGTAATCTATGAGTTGGACTGTATTTTGGAGGATGAAAAGAGTGACTAAATCATAGACAAAGACTATAAGTTCAACTAACAATACAGAGACTAAAACATAAAAATGTACTCACGACTTAGAAAAGTCTTTCAGACAAAGACAACGGTTTGGTATTTGACTTGCTGGAGTGGGAGAAAAAAAAAACAACCAACAACTCTTGACAAAGATTATGGATCAAAAACAGAATCATACTTAACCACACGACTTCAGTTTAGTCTTGCTAGATGGTAAAAACAACTACCGATTTGTTGTCTGGACAAAACAGCTATGGCTTCTAAAATCAGACTTAAGCAGAGACAACAAAAGAAGAAACAACTAATGGCTTTTAAGTCTTAAGGCAAATACTATGCAATGAAAACAGATGGCTTACTTTTCTACACACAGTTTTAAATTTTATAGACAAAGACTCAAGGCAAAGAGTCTCTAAGACAGAGACTATAACCTGCAAACAGATTCCTTACTTCCACTACACACGACTTTCAAAAGCTCTAAAAGCAGAGAGAATAGATCATGTTTAGACGAGAAGTAAAAGACTTAACTAAATCTAGTTTTTTTTTCTTCCAGGTATGTGTATCAGAAGGTGTTTAAATTGTTATAGACTCTGAGAAAGTATAACAGACTTATGTGACAGGTTACTGGTTTCCAAAACTTACTTGTAATTAGTTTATAAAATTCAGAAATTGGAGAAATATAGAGATGTGAAAGACGAATTATGATTTCCACATGACAGGTGCTTGAATAAGCATCCAAAATCTTGAGAGATTTATCCGTGTTGACATATCTATGTAACAGCTTGAAGTATAAAGAGTAATCTTGATTTGCGACTAACTTGCGTTTTGTTAACATCATCGTTGTACAATCGGAATGTAGTAGTATAATGTTAATTGCTATGTGTTAAACTTTACGACTAATTCACGACTGATAGAAGGGTCAACTACATTTTATGACGAATGTATGACTGATTACCAACTCCTTTTATCATGAAAATGAGTAAATTATATTTACATTCTCTGCTCGATATTATACCTTAATGCAGCTTTATCGGGCAACTTCACCGACGTATGGACTGGCGTCTCGATGTAAGGTCGGGGTGATTGTATCGAGCAAGATTTTACGTGACTCTGCTCAATGTAGCATTCCGATATGATCTCCACCGTGCATTTTGATAAATGTACCTCGGTGTACGAACTGGGGCTCCAGGAGTGATTACATCGAGCAAGGCTTTGGAGGTTTTGCTCGATGTAATACCCCATTGCAATATCCATCGTGCAATCTGCTCGACGTACGGACTGCTCCTTCCTCGAGATAAACTGTAGTGGGCAGTAATGACAGGTGTTCTGCCCAATATAGTGCCCTGATATGAAAACATAATCTTCTTTCCTTAGCTTTTAAACAACCCTACACATCTTTGGACCTGTTTTTTGACCTCTGAAACACTAAATAAAAACATTAGTAATAAAAAAAAGCTCAAGTGTGATTGTTTAAAGTTATTAAGCTTGACTTTGATGGTTGAAGACTTAGTGGAAAGAAGTTGATGGAGCATAAGCTCCTTCTCTCTTCTTCATGTAAAACTAAGTACCAATTGATAGCAGCTTCTTCTTATCACGAGCTGACTTTCTTGTTCTCCTCTCCTTGACACTTTTTGTGATCAAAGGCTTCACTTCTTTGGTGATTAAGACCTCTTCTTCTTACAAATCATCCTCAAGCTTCACCTCAGTGTCAAGCTTCTCCGCTGGCTCATCAGGAAGAGTCTCTCATCAGCATGCTCATTGTGAAGCTTATAGCTAGCTCCACACGTTCTGGAAGTTGTTGTTGCTCACTCTCTTCCTCAACAATGGTTCCACAAAAAGCAATAGAAGGTGATGCAATCTTGTACACCTTGAACTCATCAACATTTTTTAGGATCACTGAGCTTCTCTTGAAGTCAACTTGAGCACCTGCTGTAGCCAAGAAAGGCGTTCCTAGTAGAAGTGGTGCCTCTCTTGAATATGTCTTTTCTATAACCATAAAATCTGTTCGTATCAAGCAATTTCCAATCTTCAAAGGGAAACCCTTCACCATCCCTAGTGGTCTTGTTGAGGTATTACCCACAAATGTAATAGAGGCTTTGCAGGGCTTCAGCTATGTGATTCCTAAGGTTTGGCTTAACTGGAGAGACATAACATTGACTGTGGAGCCTGCATAGCATAGGGCTCCCACATTGTCTAACATCCCAAGCTCACAAGTGATCGGGAACTTTCCTGGATTGGCAAGCTTGGTTAAGGTTTTCAGCTCATTGCTCCTCTTCAAATTAGCTCCCACATTCTCAATTATCGGCTCCACAACCTCTAGCATGTCAAAAAATTATTTGAGCAAGCGGATTTGATCCTTCACTTCAAGCAATGTGGTGCTATGAGGAAGCTTTATGCCAGCATCTTCTATATCTTTTCTGAATCTTGAGTAGACTGCCATCTGAGCCTTTGTGAATTGCATTGTGGGATAAGGAATTAGTGCTTTGTAGGCTTAAACCTCAGGAGCTTTACCCTTCTCATTGTTTTTTTTGAAGAAGTCCCCACTTGGCATCCATACAGCTCCTTGAAATCTTCAGGACTTTATTTAACAAAGACCATCAAAGTGTGGTATGTTTCTACAAGCTCCTTATCAGATTCTTTAAGCTCTGGCTTGGCTTCTTATTTTGGAGCAACTAAAGCTTTCTCAGCCTCTTCCTTTTCAGCAGCTTCTCTTTCAGCTCTTTCTTGCTCCAAAGCAAGCTCTTCTTCTCTATCCAAGCTTCTATCTAACCCTTGAAGGAACTGTTCCATAATATCAACAGCTTCTTGATCATCAATGGTGACAATAAAAACATCCCCCCCCCCCCACACACACTCAGCTTTCACCATGTTCACATGGAGTAACATCTCTTGAATTACATACCAAGATCTTCCAAAGAAGCATCTTCATCATCATCAAACTCTTCATCCTCTTCAACAATCAAAAGGCCACTCTTCATCCTCTTCAGCAATCAAATGACAGAATTCTTTAGGATTGGCTTCACTCTTTCCTGGTAATTGGTTATGAGCCTTTGAAGATGAAGCTCCTTTGCTCTCTAGAGACTTAAATCTTTGACTTATAGCATCAAGCTTTTTATTAAAATCATAACTTGTAGCATCGATCTTGTTGTGCACTTCAACAAACTTCTTATGCACCTCTATGGTGGTGTTGGCTTAACCATTCAACAGCTGTTGCATCATCTGCTTAATATCACCATCTTGAGTTCTAGAAGAGCCTTGTGCATTGCCAAAACCTGGTCTTGGCTGGTAATTTGATTGCTAGAATCCGCCCTGAAATGGTGGTCTTGAAGTAAAGTTTTACTGTTGGTTGAAAGGAACAAAATGCTTGGCTCCTTAGTTTTGTTAAGCACCTTGTGAGGGACAAACCTGATCCTTTGGATTGGCCACATTTGTGCTTCTATAGGAAACGTTTGGGTGATTTATGTAGTTGTTGAAACCTCCTCCTTGTTAGTTCATGTATAAGGCTTCTTCTTCTATAAATGTCTCATCTTCTCCCTATGTAGCATCAGCTTCACCCAGATAGCTCACATTCTTGAATGATGCACTCAAAAGCTTATCAAGCTTGTCATTCAAAGCTTTGAAATCCTTCTTTGTACTCTCACTTTCAGCACTTCCTGAACTTTCTGTCTTACAGCCCTTCTTCTATGGATGTTGTCTATAGCCAGATCCTCAAACCTCATAGGATGCTCATGTGGAAGGCTATGAAAAGGATGTTGACCCACAAGCTGGTAATAACCAGGGTTGAGCTCAAAATCGTTTCTTTGGAATGCAGGAGGGCGGATTGCAGCTTTGTTGGCATAAAACTGGTCTGGTCTGTTGTAGTCTCCCAGAGTTCTCTGAACAAAACGCCCAGCGGTGTCTCCAGCTTGTTGAACCGCCTGTTCAACTATAACATTGACATTCTGATCCAATCTTTGCTCGTCTTCATTCCTCATGTTTCCTTCTCTGTCAACCAAGTGACCTTCAGCATCTGTGATCAAGACAATCAGATTGGCCATTGTAGATTGCTTCTAAGTTTTACTGATGGTCTTCTCTAACTTAGCGAGTTCGTCGATGCTCAAAGTCACAAGCTCCTTCTCTTTGTTGCTTCTGGTACTGCGATTATGCATACACCTGAAATAGACACAAGAAAAGTCGCAGACAGTTAGTAAACAAATAAAAAATTAGTCAAAATCCTAATACTAAAAATCTATAGGCAGCTATTACTCCCCGACAATGGTGCCAAAAATTTGACAGGGTCTAAGTTTTACCTAATTATAATACTACTACAAGTGCACAGCAATGCAGTTGTAGCAGAAGGGGTTATCGAATCCTAAAGGAGTAAACTACTACACTATAGAATTTAAATTCAGATTAAGCTAAGCAGTAAATAATGAATATAATGCGAAATAACTAAGTAAATGTAAGCAGGCGATTTTGATGGTTATTCTAAAGTTCAGAAAGCTAAAAGCGCTAAGTCAGGATAATTCGCAGGTTGAATCCAAGAATGTAGAATGCATGCAATCAGGAAAAATTAAAACTGTCTAGAACTCGAAACACAATGATATAACTAATCAATTCTCATTGCAGAAGTTATCTATGCCTAATTCACAGAATTTAAAATCTCTTTGCAAATTCTAACAAGTCAAGCAAGCATTGATGATCAGGTTTCGATTGTTCACAAAACTTCTAAGTTAAATCTCTTTGCAAATAGGCGTTTTGCTCATCTAATACTAGTTCAGGTGATTAACAATGCTCACATCTATTAAACAACCTAGGGTTTCGAAATCCAGATGATCAGTTCTAAAAATCGATATGAATGCAAGTATAGATGAAGAACCAATGGATTTTCCTAACAGCTTAGCAATTCTACAAACTCTTCATCAACCTTTAAATCATCCTAACTTAACAGATTACTCAGACACGATTATGAATAAACAAAGCATAGCTGAGTAATACTACATAAAATAGAAAAGAGTAGAGATACAAGGGTTTGAAATCTTCTCTAAAAGAGTACAGGATTTATCTCCACCAAAGCTCTGAAATCTCTCTCTCTCAAAAACTCTCTACAAATTCAGATAGAAGCCAAAGAATGGCTGAAAAACCTATTATACAAGCTAAAACACGAGTGGGGCCTTCTTGCAAATAGTAAAACTTCTGGGCCAAAAATGCAATTTCTTCTCCATCTTTTAATAGAACCGCGATACCTTCCTCAGATTGGGTGACAACGTCACCCTTGGTTGGTGACGATCGTCACCAGTGCAGAATAATGCCTTTTGAGTTACTTCCTTCGGGAAGGATTCTTGCTTTGATCCAAAAAGCTCCAAAACCTCCAATTGTGCTCCAATCATGCTATAACCTGCAAAGACTCTATTAGGACTCTAAAAAGACCAAAAAAACTCAATAAAAATGACTTATATCATGGTTAAAACCATAAAAACCATGATATATCATTTGTTGCACTGCAGCAACAATTACAAGAAGCTCAGCGTCAGATAGAGGAACAGACTGCTTATAATGCATGACGTGATGAAGAGATTGTTGCTCGTGAAGCTGAGATTTCCCGAGTTGCGGCTAAACAACAAAACAATCTCGAGCACTTGTCATTGGTGGAGAAATTTCTGTTAGTAACTGATCCAGCCATTGTAGACTTCATAGATTCTCAACCGGCTCTATCAACTCCACTTATAACCCGATACACAACACCGTAACAGCTCCCTCTTTGCTTAACTTTTAATCCATGTCCTTCTAGATAAGAGTTAGTTTAGGTATTATTTGTTAACTCCACTGTTAGAGTTTTGATTTGTATACATACAATTCAAATGGTAATTACAAGTTTTTGGATTTTGTGTATTTGGATTTGTGCTATATATATGTTAATTATAAGGTTTTATGTATTTTGATTTCAACAGGTTTAATTTTCAATGTCAAATAGTAAATCTAAGAATGTAGATACCATTTACTCATTTTCATGACAAAACGTCGGTAATCAGTTGTAAATTAGTCGCACAATAGTCACAATGTAGTCCTTATTCAATCGTAAATTTGATATCATTTTACAAAATCGACCCTTCTCTCAATCCTGGATTAGTCATAAAGTTTACGACTATATGGTTTTGCAATGAAGGATTAATGCCTTCTCATCTTGGTCGCAAATCTGTACTTTAACAATCCTTAAATGAGTGCTTCCTTGTAGTGACCATCAAATATACTTATTTACTTTTGGCTTTTAAACCATGAATCTAATTCTCTTTTTTCTTAATTTTCTTATCTACCTTTTTTATTTTTAATTATTTTCTTTTTACTATTAGTAATCAATCATATCATTTCTTTAATCCTATTAAAAACATAATATACATGCATGATATTTTATTCAAAAAGTAATTATATTACAATTATGCTAAAATTAACTAGTTGATTTTTTAACATGTGTCAAAGTCTTATTTAAGATGATTGTCTCGTGTCGGAATCATGTTAATTATTAACACTGACATATTCAAATTATACATAATAAAATATAGATGAAAATATCAAATAAGATTTATAGTTAAATAAAAATATTTAATTATTTGATTAATTTGATATTAGAAATCAGCATACACAAAAACATTTTGGCTGACCCCATGGGCTAAATGGGAGACATGCTATACAGTCTGACTTGCAATCCAGCTTTTTTGTTTGTGTTGGTGGTTGTACTATCTTCAATGAAGCTTCATGATGCAACCCAAATTTAGGAGCTTCTTCAGTGAATAAACGTTTTGCTTCAACATTTGTAACTATTGCCATAACTGCAAAACCAAACAATTTTGTTATAAATCATATAATATAACCATCATTATATAATCTAAGTTATATATCTATTTAGGCTGAAATATATAATATCTCTTTAACTTCTAAAATACTTGTAGAAATTCTTTTTTTTCATGTATGAAATATGAAATATTACCAGCTAATAAAATAACAAAAGCAAACTTCATTGATATTTTCTCCATTGTTATAGTTCTTTAAAAAAGAAAATATTATTACAAAAATGTGATGAGGTCTATAATAGCTACTGTCAAACCATTTTATAGTTAGAAGAAATGGTATTAGTCAAGTCAAATATTTATCAAATTGAAATACATTAACTTTTTTACCAAATTCTATTAAAATACATATTACTAGATTTATTTAATTTGACCAAATTCAGTAAAAAACATTTACCTAAGACTAAATTTATTTTCTATTATATTAAATTAAATAACAGTACATAAAATCAAATTAAAACTTGGATTAATGGATTAATAATTTGAATAAATCCAAATCTATGGAGATTTTAATGAACTTAAAGTTTAAAATGATTTAAACAAATATTGCCTTCTAAAATCTCTTAAATACAATCATATGAGGTGGTATATCAGTCTATTGGTTTTTAACTCTAAATTACTTTTCAAATCATCCCAAATCATTTTTAAATAATTAATTAATGAAATCCTAGTTTTCCAATAAAGCAAGATTTTAATGAATTTTTATAATTGACTAACCCAATAACCTTGGATTTTAAGCAAATTTTTCAAATGCTAGATTTAATAAGAAGAGGTTTTGAAAAAAATGAAATCATTCCAAATCATAAATCTAATATGTCCCACTTAAATGCATTAGTGGACACTTTAACATAACTGGTGACTACTAGAAACAAATAGGTATGGAAAGTAAAAGAATGAACATGAACAAAATAATAGGAATGAAATGCATAGAAAAGAATTTCTCAGAACCCACAAAGAGTGTTGGTCAATTAAGAGAGCAGGACAGTGGTCATGGAAATCAAAATCCGTTAAGGAATGAAAGAAGTTTGATAACCAAGGCAATGTTATCAAATTATTAATTTCGATATTTCTACACATACTAAATGAGACTAAAGAGGGTTATTTTAAACTAATTCATATTCACATGCACTACAACAAACGACCCGAGAATAATTGATCATCACTCTTGGTTGGCCAGTTTGTGATTTTGAATATCTTATAACAGTAGTTGTATCATGTAGTTTTTTTTTTTGTATTTTTGATTTTTGATATAGTTCTATCATTTTATATATTTCAGACTGTTTTTATTTTTTTTCCTTTTTCTTATAAGAGTACGAAGAAACCATTATATTTACAGTTTGTACATATGAAAAATGAATAAATTATTGATAATTTTATTACAACCTACACCGTTTTTAAATTATCAATATCTATTACTATTTGTAACAATGACATCTTATTGATATCAATAGATTACTAGTTCCATTACTTTTCTGTTTGTATCTTTTAAGAAGAAGAAAAAAAGGATGAAACTCGAGCTTTTCTATAAAGGTCAATGGAGATTTTTGGATAAGAGAAGAGAGAACCTTAAGAATACCAAAAAAAAAAAAAAAATCTTTTTCACACATAAAAACTTACTAAACGCGCCAACTAAAACCAGAAATGTAAAAATCACTAAAGCGCACAATTTTAAAATGTAAAGGTAAAATATGGAGATGATTTGAATGGAATCTTAAACCCAAGGACAAGCTACAACTGAGAGGATAAACCAAAGACCTTTTCCAAGGTATAACCTAAATTTTTTGTTGCTAATCAGGTTACTAGAAGAAAACTTGAGGCTTCTACTACTAGAATTCGAGATGTCAAGTAATTCTACTTAGATGTTTTTTTCAACGTCTAATTAAACAAACTATAAATAATTAATGAAACAAAAATTATTGAGACTAAAATTTATAATTTATCTAAGATTATAGAATACTCATGATTGAAAAAAAAGACAAAAAAATTAAAATTAAAGATAGAGATAAGTCAGATAACCTAGTCAGATTTGTGATTGGAGGGTAAAGACAAAGATACAACTTATCACGTAAAAATAAACTTAATTAGGTTATCTTTAACTATTATATTAAACTACTAATCGGCTTGATTTAAATTTCAGTGACGAGTGTATGGCCCAAATTATGCAAATTTAATCTCTTGAGTATCCAAAAAATATTCTTTTTGGGCTTGAGTTAAAATTTTGAAAACCTTATAAATAATGTGAAGATCTTTGCAATTATTTTTTGATCTAATTTATCTCTATGTGATCACAAACCCAGAAACATCAAGTTCTTAGATTATTTTTATTATCTTGTCACTATTAATATTGTCTCTTCTTCATTTCTTGCATGCAAAATAAGACATGTCTCCATTATATATGATGATGAGTCTACCTAAAGAAAAAGAAATAACTAGAAGCTACTATTGTAGATTCAGAAATCTAAATATGAGTTTATTAGTTATTAGAATCGTAGGAGAATCTTTAATTTGTGGACCTCATAGTATGTATATTTCTTCCTCCCACTCTTGTGCGTAAGTTAGGTAATGGAGAAAGAAACGATGAAATACATATTGGGCCTGCTGGTACTTTTTAAATAATCGGCCAAAATTCAGTTCGTATAAGGTTTCTCTACGTTTTGCACATATGTTTCTTTGCTTCTTGTACAAGTTTAAGAGAAAAAGCCCTAAAAGCAACAGTCTTTAGAGACTAAGAGCATCACCATTAGAGGTATCTAAGAGAGTATCTCAATAAAAATATATTAATAAAATAATTGAAAAGAATGAGAGAGAAAGAGATGGGTATTTCAAATGAAATATACTCTCTAAAAATCTAAAAGACACATGTTTTCTTATAAATGGTTTAACTTTTTATTTTAAAAATTAATTAAAAATGAAATTACACTAAAATACCAATATAATATATGGTGAGATATATGATGATACATTGTAGGTTATAGGATGGGGCGACTAGGGTTTTGGGCGAAAATAAGGCGACTCGCAGCCATCTAAACTTCCTTAACACACAACATCGGATCCGGCTTACTCTCATCGATCCTGATCAAAAGGTTAAACATTATGTATCTCTAATCCTATAAGGTTACGGTAGTAGTGACTGTGTAGTGTTCGGAATCTGGTTTTGGGTCTGTTTTTTGGTATCGAAACTACGGATCTGTGTAGGTTGTTAGCCCTAGCCGTCTCTCCTGCTCTGTTTTCTAGCGTACTGCTAAGGTCCCGCATAGATCGGTACGTCATCTGGCATTGTCACCTTGCGAGAGGGCCAAGTTGTTCTTACCCTTGCTACACTGATAATCACGATCTCTAGTCCAGTACTACGCCCTGATCGTGATTACGTAAAAGAAAGGAGAATATCGAGATGAGTCGAGAAATCATCAGTATGACAGACGGAGAGAAGAAACTCACTAATGGCTCTAGCTCATCCCAAACAAGACGCCGCCTGGAGCTTTCGGATGACGAGATCATCGCAATTCCGGAATGAGATCTAACGGCCGTGACGGAGCTTTTCCAGAAGACACTAATCGGAAGAATGTTTCACTGAGAGGGTAGGAGCACTGAAGCACTGCTAGCTCATCTCCCACGAGCAAGAATCTGGGATGTTGAAGGGAAGGTTAAAGGTAGGAACCTTGGGAATGGCAGATTCCAATTTGATTTTGAGATGCAGGAGGATATGGAAAAGGTGCTAGCCAAGAGACCGTGCCACTTCAATCGCTGGAACTTCACCTTAGAGAAGTGGGAAGCATCGACGAAAGAGAACTTCCCCAACACTATCCCGTTCTGGCTGCGAGTTACTGGTGTACCGGTACACTTCTGGAATGACGGCACCTTTAAGGCTATTGGGAGAGCCCTGGGAAGAGTTCTGACGACGGATGCAATGGGAGCTCGAGTGCAAACCCACTACAATTCACTCGACGGATAAGCTTCCCAAATGGAGATATGGGAAAAATTGAGTTTGAATATGAGGGGCTCCAACGCTTCTGCTTCCACTGTAACCGAATCTCTCATGAGATTACCAACTGTCCACAAATCATGAACGAGAAGAAACTGCTTCCTAGAAAGGATACGGAAACCTCTGAGAATCGGCTAAGCCTGGGAACGAATGTCATTCCAAAAACAAAAGATACTATGAAACGTATTCGCTCCCCCGACAGAGGAGAATACCGCAAACAGAGACCCCCTGTCCCGACAAGGGGATATGCAACTGCAACGGATGAAAGATACTTGGCATGGGAGCGTGACTCCGATACTCATCCGAGCAAGCTGAGTAAACTAAGTTCGGGGGGTTACAGAGAAAGTCGACGAAGACAAGAAGACTTCCCCAAGGCAAAAGAGATGGAAGTAAACGCTAACACCTCGGAAATATCACTACGCAGCTCGGAGACCAATCGAGACGTTCTCCGAAGGGAAGAAGAAAGGCCCACCGCTGGGAAAAAACAAAAGATTCTTGAACGAAGGACCAATGTACCAAGCTGGTGGAGAGAAAGCAGCGAGGAACCTGAGGAGAGAGATCTTCGTAAGGATTTAAGCGATAGACGACATGAGAGAAGCAAGGGGGTTTGGAACAGAATTGACCACCCATCCAATGCAAACTATCCACAAACTCGCGAGTACCCATCTCTGTATCTACAGAAGAGACAAAAACCCCAGAATCGACGTTATGAACCTAGGAGTTATCGAGCTATCTGGAGACCAATATATGCAGAGAACAGAGGAGAAAACAGAGTTGAAACAACGCCACGTAACTCACTTCGTAGTGAATCACGATTGATAAGAGAAACAGATAAAGCTGGTTCGGACTCCCAAAGGACAATCTCTGACCAAATCGGCGGACTGAATATCAACAATGCCCGCCGAACTGATTCGTCGCTCTCATTAGCAGAAACAGATGAGGAACGACAGAGAAGACTGAAGGGGAAGGGTAAAGTGACAGAAAGCGCACCAAAGCAGCGTAGCCCGATGCTGCAGGATCCCCCCAGAAAGCCAGGTACACTCACCATTCGAGAGCTGGAAACTATTGACACCCCTACCTCAGCAAGGTATTCGCGAGGAAATAAGGAACAAAAGAGGTTACCGGAGAGTATAAGGTGGACAAGGACTCAGAATCGGAAGAGAAAGGAGGAAACTTAACCCCGCTCCCAGAGATGACAGATAAAGAAACTCGAGGACTTCAACATGTTGGCCGCAGAAGACAACACCTTCGATATGAATGCCGACGAGATCGATAATGATGATCTGTTGGGAGAGGATTTAAGTGAGCACGGAGAGATAATAGAGGCCATCTCTCAGCTCACCCCCCCAGAATCGACGTTATGAACCTAGGAGTTATCGAGCTATCTGGAGACCAATATATGCAGAGAACAGAGGAGAAAACAGAGTTGAAACAACGCCACGTAACTCACTTCGTAGTGAATCACGATTGATAAGAGAAACAGATAAAGCTGGTTCGGACTCCCAAAGGACAATCTCTGACCAAATCGGCGGACTGAATATCAACAATGCCCGCCGAACTGATTCGTCGCTCTCATTAGCAGAAACAGATGAGGAACGACAGAGAAGACTGAAGGGGAAGGGTAAAGTGACAGAAAGCGCACCAAAGCAGCGTAGCCCGATGCTGCAGGATCCCCCCAGAAAGCCAGGTACACTCACCATTCGAGAGCTGGAAACTATTGACACCCCTACCTCAGCAAGGTATTCGCGAGGAAATAAGGAACAAAAGAGGTTACCGGAGAGTATAAGGTGGACAAGGACTCGGAATCGGAAGAGAAAGGAGGAAACTTAACCCCGCTCCCAGAGATGACAGATAAAGAAACTCGAGGA